CGCTTTGCCTTTTTTTAGTTTCAAAAAGTATCAGAGATGGTTTTGAAAGCAAAAAGTCTGCTCTCCAGGCACTACTTCGGGGACAGATGGGCTTACTGTAACCCCACCAGGATTCTCTGGTCGTTTCTCGCGGTTTGCGATACCTCACATTTTTGGATTGTGCGAGAACATCCATTGATCAAAGCTTCAATTTGCTTGCTTAAGAATACGTTTGATGTCCCCTGCTGGTTTTAAAGGAACATATATCTTACCCCTACCAGACATATTTTTCCAGGGAAAAACAAACGTACATGGTCCGACCCTTCTCATACCTCAGTCTGTCGATTGGATGAACTTCATTCAGTCATGCCGTGCGGTACTTTTATTCACGCTGCGTTCCCCCAGAATGGTTGCTTGGAGTCGTCAATTCGGGCTTTTGAACCGAACACAAGTTGAGGGGTATTTGCAGGTGAGTTATTTGGAGGTGCGACGATTCTATAATATATTATACACACATATACTATATTATATATATAGATATATCCTGTATTATTATATCATATGATATATACATATGTTATATTATGAGTATGCTGCATAATCATATTATACTACATATATATATATATAATTATACATACCACTTACAGTATTCACGAAGCCGGGCAGTATGTTATTCATGTTTCAGATTTCAGGGAAACCAACTAGCAGGGACACTGGGGGAACCAGGTGGACGGGAGGAGCTTTTTATTTCCGGGGAAAAAAAGGCACGAGGATTTTCTTTTCCCCAAGTGATGCACCGGAGACTAAGTTTGAGATGGGAATGGCGCCACTTCTCTTGGCTTGGTGCTTCAACCAGCCATCCGGTTCAACGTAGGTTTTAGTTGTTTTAGTTGGTTTAGTGGTGGGGTTTCAGATTTCAGGGAAACCAACTAGCAGGGACACTGGGGGAACCAGAGGAGGAGCTTTTCTTTTCCCCTAAGTGATGCACCGGAGACTAAGTTTGAGATGGGAATGGCGCCACTTCTCTTGGCTTGGTGCTTCAACCAGCCATCCGGTTCAACGTAGGTTTTAGTTGTTTTAGTTGGTTTAGTGGTGGGGTTTCAGATTTCAGGGAAACCAACTAGCAGGGACACTGGGGGAACCAGGTGGACACGGGAGGAGCTGTTTTTTTCCGGGAAAAAAAAGGCACGAGGATTTTCTTTTCCCCTAAGTGATGCACCGGAGACTAAGTTTGAGATGGGAATGGCGCCACTTCTCTTGGCTTGGTGCTTCAACCAGCCATCCGGTTCAACGTAGGTTTTAGTTGTTTTAGTTGGTTTAGTGGTGGGGTTTCAGATTTCAGGGAAACCAACTAGCAGGGACACTGGGGGAACCAGGTGGACACGGGAGGAGCTGTTTTTTTCCGGGAAAAAAAAGGCACGAGGATTTTCTTTTCCCCTAAGTGATGCACCGGAGACTAAGTTTGAGATGGGAATGGCGCCACTTCTCTTGGCTTGGTGCTTCAACCAGCCATCCGGTTCAACGTAGGTTTTAGTTGTTTTAGTTGGTTTAGTGGTGGGTTTGGTTTCAGATTTCAGGGAAACCAACTAGCAGGGACACTGGGGGAACCAGGTGGATACTGCCACTCCCCCTAGAGTACTGCCACTAAGTTTGATATGGGAATGGCGCCAAGTTGGAATCGATTCCCCCATATCGGGACCCGCTCCCTCCGTATCCCTGCTTGTTCGTTTGTCCAATGAGTCGATTGGTTGGTCAAGGCTTGGCCTGTCGTGGCTTTCAGCAAAGCCTCGCCGAGGTTTAGCGCTGAACATCGGTTTGGGTCGATGTAATCTTTAAATTTCACGTCCGGTCCTTTCGCTGTAGACCTTTGGCCGTTTTGGAAAATAGAAATGGGTCTCCCAAAATGGCATTCGGGGTTCCTGTATAGGTGTCCCTAGAACCATTTTTCCGTTCTCCAGGTATTTCAAGAATGGTGGTTTGCTTTGGTTCCCCTTGTAAATCACCTCCAAAGAGGTAATTTCAAGGAAGAACAACTTGGCTCCGTGGGGTTCAATGTTTTTCAGCCTCACTTCGCTGAGGGTTTTGAGCAAACAACAAGTCAGTGTTGGGATCGGAATCTTGAAGATCTTGAAGGGCTCCAAGCGAATTGGATGCTAGGTCCCCCAGCAAGGTGCCCTTCTCTGCAAACTTTTTTGGTGGGGAGATTCGATTCCCCTACTCAAATCGACTACCGAAGAAAAACAAAAACGGGTACCAACTTATTCTAACCTCTCTACTGGACCTAGGATGGAATCGACTCGCTTCCCGAGTTTTCGGGCGTGCCAAACTGGGGTCTAGACCAGCGGCAAAGGAGCGTGGGAAGCTTTTTGTTGGCCGATCCGCTCGTTCGGACCAGTCGGAAGTGAAGCAACATGTGTTGCTCAGGGAATGGACGAGACACAACAGGAGGGAGTCCCAGATGGGCCTGGACTGATGGGCCCGGCGGCCCGGCGCGGAGGTGCCTCTTTCGGAATTGCTTTAAGTGGAGACCAAAACTTGGTGGCAAGCCCAGCCAGCCGGTTCCTTAGCTTTTTAATGCCTGTTAGTGTTTAGTGGTAGTTTCCATTCAGCCGCAGAACAGCATTGTAGCGGATGGGCTCGATGGGAGCCAAGACCAACTGCCAGAGCTAGCCACAACCCCTGCCATCTAATCCAAGCCAGGCACTTCTAGTTTCAGAATGCAACTACATCCCATATCGTCCGACAGTTGGCAATGCATTCAGTTTTGAAGCACGTGATTCCACCTTGCCTACCGTGCCGTGCTGTAAGTGTTGCCTGTTGGCATCCCGTTACTTCAGATGGCCTCCAAAACGAAGCTCTTAACACTCTTGGAGAGTGGGCATGCCCCCCACGAAAAACACAACCAGCCAACCCTCGCCAGAAAACAAGAGGGAAGCACCTCCCACAAGGAAGGAACCCCCCGGCTTGTTCACGCCTCTACATTCCCCGCAGCAGTCCATCCCTTTGTGTCCCCATTTGATTCCACCTGTGTTCAAGCCAGTCATTGAGACAGTTGGTTCCATGTTTCGCACATCCAGTTTGGATCAGGTCGTGTTTCAAGCCTCCAGAAAATCGTTCGCCAAGAGCATTGACCTGAGCTTACTGCAGATCCTAAAGATGTGCACGCCATGTTTCCAAGGAGGACTTGCAGCTGTGCGCTTGGTCCATGCGGAGTTGAACTTGAAGCTTGCGTTGAGTCGTGAGGATGTTGCCCACATCAGCGAAGCCTGCAGGGCAGCTTCAATTGCTGGCATGTCTGCTCAAAGGCTTGCGGCGGCACGCACGGTTGGCGCACAACTGGCCTTGCGAAACTCTCTAAAATCTAAAGACGCGGTTCGCATTGACCAGGCGTGTGATGCGGCTGAACATACCAGTGTAGCAACTCATGAGATCAGAGAGGGTCGTGCGATGGCAGCCAGACTGCGAGCAGAGGGAGAACTCTATGCGGCGATATCCGCCCCGAGCATCGAGCAGCTTCGCAAGGCTCGTGCGTCGGGCGCGCGGGCTGGCATTGATGCAGCTCTGATCCGGGAAGCCGAGCGAAAGACCAACCAGCTATGCCAGAATGCGATCCTGAAAGCCACCGGGACTGGATGCGTGCAAGCAGTCCGGGCAGCTTGTTCCGAAGCAGAGCATGCTGGTGCCGCACCCAGCTTGGTCCATGAAGCCATGCACACCATTGCAAGATTACAGCGGGAAGAGGCTGAGACTCAGCTTGCAGAAGCAATGGTTTCAGGCTGCGCCGGGCAAATCAGAGTAGCTTCCGCCGCAGCCAAGGATCAGGGCGTTTCAGCCGAACAGGTGCGGCAAGCAGAGGAGACGGCCACCCGCATTGAAGCAGAAGTCGAGCTGGCGGCGGTTCTGTTGAACGCAGTTGAGCGAAGCGCAGCGAGACTTTGCAGCGCTGCAGATGTGATCGAGGCGGTTGGTGCTATTGACCTGCATGCCTTACAGAACTGTTTCCAGGAATTGCAGACGGCGCTTTCCCGAGCGGTTCGCTTGCAGAAGTCATGTTCGAGAGGTTCCTTATTGGACAGCAGAATCCTAGAAGCCCGGTCAGCCATACAGAGCATTCAGGAAGCAGTATTATTTGCCGAACTTCGGCATGCTACTGAACACGGAGATTCTTCCAGCCTCAAAGAAGCGCTCGAATCAGCACGCAATGCAAACCTGCCCTACAGACAGATTTATCTAGCAGAGCAGATGCTGAAGAGACGCCTGGCCGAGGAAGAACTGGTTAGTTCCATTACCGCAGCAAAAGCCGAACTCGCTTCAAGATTTCCTTCACAGCCAAATGGATCCAAGCCTGCGGATACTAATGACATGGTTGTGAGAAGGCTTAGCAGAGCACTTTCCTCAGCAGAACATTTGGATGTGGCATGTGCATGGAGCATCACTGAAGGATTGGAAACACTCGCAGAGCTGACACGGCACGAGCTCCAGAAAGCCGTATTGGTTCAAGATGGGCATATGATTAAGCAAATATGTGAGTTTGCTGAAAATTTTGGTCTTGAACGTCTTGATCTTCTGGTGGATGTGCCTCAGGCCAGTGTGACTGCAGAACGGCTGCTGGCAGAGGAAGATCTATCATATGCGTTGGCAAATGAAGATTTTCTGTGCATTCAAGCGGCATGCGACCGAGCTCGAAAGAGTGGAGTGAGTGAAGAACGTGTCAAAACAGCAGAAGAAACCTCTTTGAAAGCACACCGAAAGTGTCTATCCGAGGGTTTGACACACCTTGTTCAGAGAGACAGCTTGGAAGGACTACACCTTGCCATACAAGAGGCTTGCACACGCTGTGGCTGCACCCGAGAATACGATGATTTCCATGACCGAATATGTTACTGCGATTCCAAGGGTTGCAAACCTGCTTGCAGCTCCTCCGAGCAACAGTCGTCTCATCCGACACCAGTTGCTACATCAACGGCTAGGTCAGAGGCCTCGGATGAATCATTTGGCACGGATGTGACCTGGGATACAGATACTGTCCCAGACTGGGAGGAGGACGCCGATGGTAATTTGGTGGCGTACCCTCTCACAACAATGTACATTCAATCACGTCGCACAGGTAGGATCATTCGCAGTTGGCAAGTATGATCTCATATTCATGCCGGCATGATCTCACTTTGAAGCTTTCCCAGTCGCAAAAGGCTCCGAGTCATTCCCATGATAGTTTTCCAGGGACCGAAATAAAGACATTTGAAAAGCAGCCCTCTGAATCCCCAAAGAGTCGTGCAATAGCAAAAGCTGTCGTAGGAATATCTAGGGCCTCCTGCAATCCGCTTTTGAAATACTTAAGGATTCTTAGGCCCTGCAATCCTTCTTTCTCAATCCCTAAGCGTCCCTACCGGTAGGCAAGAGCAAGTCCTTTTTGGATAAAGCCCAACGGAGATCCCTACTGAAAGGGCGTACTTAGTAAGTGGTTAGTAAGCCTGAATATAACTGACTTACCGTGGTTAGTCTCCAAGTCTTCTAAGTGGGTTATAACCAGGATTATTTACCACTTACTAATTACCCTGCCCCTTCAGAAGCTTCAAGTAGTGATTCCAATCAGGGAAGAATAGGGACCCTAGGATTCCAAAAACCGAAGAAGGGAGCCCTAGCGATCCCTAGGACTTCCCTAAAGGGAAGCAGAGCGGCCCTAGGGGTCCCTTACAGATTCCAAAAAGCGATCGACTGTCCGAGGCCATTGAATTTGACTCAAGAACGGTCCTAAAGGGATTCCGTTTCTTCCCTTGTTAGAAACAATGGGCCAAGCGGTTCCTACTAGTGACCTTGTATGATTGTGAGGGGCCATCAAAGAACATCAAGAGCCATCTTCCCACGGCTCCCTACACCTCACTCTTCTTGTATCAGGTTGTTTGTTTTTTGTTTTGGTTCCGTTCATTTTCGCGTAGGCTGCCAACAAAAAGCCGACAAACACGTCAGGTCCCGTTCATTTTTGCGTGGGCCGAGAAAAACAGAACAACAAACATGTCAAGTTCCGTTCATTTTCGCGTAGGCTGCCAACAAAAAACCGACAAGCACGTCAGGTCCCGTTCAATTTTGCGTGGGCCGAGAAAAAACATAACAACAAAGACGTCAGGTTCCGTTCATTTTCGCGTGGGCTGCCAACCAAAAACCGACAAGCACGTCAAGTTCCGTTCATTTTTGCGTGGGCCGAGAAGAACATAACAACAAAAACGTCAAGTTCCGTTCATTTTCGCGTGGGCTGCAGAAAAAAAAAAACCCGACAAGCACGTCAGGTTCCGTTCATTTTTGCGTGGGCCGAGAAAAACAACAACAAAGACGTCAGGTTCCGTTCATTTTCGCGTGGGCTGCAGAAAAAAAACTGACAAGCACGTCAGGTTCCGTTCATTTTTTGCGTGGGCCGAGAAAAACATAACAACAAAGACGTCAGGTTCCGTTCATTTTCGCGTAGGCTGCAGGAAGAAAAAAACCGACAAGCACGTCAGGTTCCGTTCATTTTTGCGTGGGCCGAGAAAAACATAACAACAAAGACGTCAAGTTCCGTTCATTTTCGCGTGGGCTGCAGAAAAAATAATCCGACAAGCACGTCAGCATTCCGTTCATTTTTGCGTGGGCCGAGAAAAACATAACAACAAAGACGTCACGTTCCGTTCATTTTCGCGTGGGCTGCAGAAAAAAACAACCGACAAGCACGTCAGGTTCCGTTCATTTTTGCGTGGGCCGAGAAAAACATAACAACAAAGACGTCAGGTTCCGTTCATTTTCGCGTGGGCTGCAGAAAAAGAACCGACAAGCACGTCAGGTTCCGTTCATTTTTGCGTGGGCCGAGAAAAACATAACAACAAAGACGTCAGGTTCCGTTCATTTTCGCGTGGGCTGCAGAAAAAGAACCGACAAGCACGTCAGGTTCCGTTCATTTTTGCGTGGGCCGAGAAAAACATAACAACAAAGACGTCAGGTTCCGTTCATTTTCGCGTGGGCTGCAGAAAAAGAACCGACAAGCACGTCAGGTTCCGTTCATTTTTGCGTGGGCCGAGAAAAACATAACAACAAAGACGTCAGGTTCCGTTCATTTTCGCGTGGGCTGCAGAAAAAGAACCGACAAGCACGTCAGGTTCCGTTCATTTTTGCGTGGGCCGAGAAAAACATAACAACAAAGACGTCAGGTTCCGTTCATTTTCGCGTGGGCTGCAGAACAAAATAAAAGACAAGCACGTCAGGTTCCGTTCATTCTTGCGTGGGCCGAGAAAAACATAACAACAAAGACGTCAGGTTCCGTTCATTTTCGCGTGGGCTGCAGAAAAAGAACAGACAAGCACGTTAGGTTCCGTTCATTTTTGCGTGGGCCGAGAAAAACATAACAACAAAGGCGTCAGGTTCCGTTCATTTTGGCGTGGGCTGCAGAAAAAGAACCGACAAGCACGTCAGGTTCCGTTCATTTTTGCGTGGGCCGAGAAAACATAACAACAAAGACGTCAGGTTCCGTTCATTTTCGCGTGGGCTGCAGAAAAAATCCCGACAAGCACGTCAGGTTCAGTTCATTTTTGCGTGGGCCGAGAAAAACATAACTTTAAAGACGTCACCTGCACCTTTATTTGAACACTTATTTTTGCTTGATGTGGTTTGTCACACTTTTTCTGGCCGACTGAACAAATATGGGCCGGTTGGGACGAGTTGGAAAGAAAATGGCCGATTCTATGGAAAAGGGTCGTGGCTATCCTTGCAGGCTGTCGTTTTGCATGGGCGGCCCGCAACTGGCTTGCCATGCGGGTGATGATCTGTTTGCCCTACCTGGACAATACTTCTGGATTGAAACCCAGGGGTTCGCCAGCTGATGAGGCAACGGAGCTGGTTTTGTGTGATCCTGCAATTCTAGATTTGATCACTTTTTGAGATTTGCGTCCGTTTGCGGGTTTTTGCGTCCGTTTTGCGGGTTTTTGCGCCCGATTTGCGGCATTGTTGGGGCGCAATTTTGCGCAAAAACGGCAAATGGTCAGACCAAAGGCCAATTCTTGTTTCCAATTCCTGTCTCTGTGCTGGCTCCACTTCTTAACGGCACAAAATTCAGGATTTGCAACAAAGCTAGGCGGTGCCTAGAGCCGCAGGCTCAGCTGCCCCGAAAATGCTTCACAGGTAGGAAACGCACTGTTTTTACAAAAAGTGTTCGTTTCTCAGAAAACTGCTCGATTGTGACAACGACCAGTTTTGAAGGCCACTTCCAGAAAAAGTAGTCGATGTCCCAGTTGAACAAGAATACGTGACCGCTTGACGTTTCTGGCCAGGTTCCGTTCATTTTTGCGTGGGCTGCAGAAAAAAAAACCGACAAGCACGTCAGGTTCCGTTCATTTTTGCGTGGGCCGAGAAAAACATAACAACAAAGACGTCAGGTTCCGTTCATTTTGGCGTGGGCTGCAGAAAAAAACCCGACAAGCACGGTTCCGTTCATTTTTGCGTGGGCCGAGAAAAACATAACAACAAAGACGTCAGGTTCCGTTCATTGTTGCGTGGGCTGCAGAAAAAAAACAGAAAACACCGGCAGGTACCAGTCAGCTGGTTGCACGCCCGCGACAGGCGCCGATATGGATCTTCCACCGCTGCGGCCTTGGAGCCTTCGGACATCTTCGGGCCTTCGGGTTCTCGCAGCCGCGCGGGTGGATATTGGGACTGGATCCCAGTGGCCAGCGTTTCCATTTAAAAGACCCAAGAAATGGAAATTTGTCCAATTCAAACGGAAAAGACAAACAAAAAGAAAACAAGAAGACGGGTGGGTTGCCGGCCGGTTGCCAAGCCCTTGGTTGCCCTTTGCAGCTCAATGGATCCCGTTTGTGGCTGGCTGACATGCCAGGTTTGAAGGGACCGGGTCTGCCGGTCGACAAGACGTGCAACAGAATGTTTTACACTGATGGCATGGGTCTCAATGGATTTTGGTTGAAGTTTTGTTGGGAGGGGTCTGCTCATTTTTGGTAGAGTGCCAACAAAAATGCGTTTGGTTTTAGGCTTTTGGTTTAGGTTTTTGTTGGGGGGGTGTCTGTTCATTTTTAGTAGGGGAGTGCCAAAAACACGTTGTAACGTTTTTGTTGCAAGCCCATGCCAAGGGTGGGAAAGGAATCTACATGTATATTACTGGGCTGCTCAAATGCTATCCCTAATCCTTCCTTGGGTTATGCAAAGGGTCCTTTTATGTAAATAACTTTACATGGCCATTGTTATGGGCCCTTGTATACCACTTACATAATGGGTATACGACTCTGTTGCCCTGGTTGGTTGGTCAGGATCACTCTCTTGTGTTTGGCAACAGCAATCCCCAAAGGTCCCAACTCCATTGGACTATTTGTGCCTAGCCCCCAACCCAGGTCCCACAAATAGGGGCCCTTTCAGGAAACCCACTGGCACAAACAGTTTCCTATGGGCCCCGATTTTTTGGCTTAAATCAAATGTTTAGGCCCTTGATCGCCCTTGATCGCTGAAATGAAACTTGATTTGTGCTTTTGGACTTATCCTCTTAGACGCCGGCAAACCACCAAAAACAACTGCCCATAACAATGGCCCATGTAAAATTCTTTAGATTTTAGGGATGAAGGACTCGGATTCACCAACCCTCCATAAACAGCCCAGTATGCTACTGAGGCGCCACTACGACAATGTGAAATCGGCCGAAGTGGCGACCCCGAAGGGGGCGCTCGCTCGAGTCACCTCGCGGCGACACCCAGAAGGACCCACAGGAAAAGGCACGGAACAAATAAGTTCAAGAGATGAGTCGTTGTTCAAGCAGTGTTTGGTTTTAGGCAATTTAGGCCTCCTAATCTTGAAGTTTTGTAGGCCCAGCTTGGGGCAATGTTGAGTATCCAGCAGGAAGCAGATCAAAGTGCCGGATGGATCCTGAAGGCCGCGCCCGAAACCGTAGAAAGAGAGGCTCATATCAAGGCCTTAGTCACAGAGTGAGTTGTTTGGCTCGGCCGGAGTTGGTTACTTGCGTAACTGGTTTTTTCATCGAACCGGGCTCCCCGCTTACTCCAAGCCTGAATGATTCTGCTCAAAGTGAACATGTTGAGGCTTCTGAATAACTTGTTTTGGGTGGTTCCCTTTAAGCCACCATTCAACATTTGGTCGGCAGTTTTGCAGGATGT